AGTTGAGTAAACCATAGATAAAAGTGCTTGTATGAATCGGTGTGAATGGGTAATGAGGGACGTTATCTAAAGCACTTTGATTACTCAGAGTAGAATAGCTCTATAAAAGAACCAGTCCATTTATTCAAGAGGCATCTTCTAAAGATAATTAGATTATATTAAAAGAATATATAAACTTTTTTTTTAAACTTTCCATATACCGGGTTAAAATACGTAATGCATGTTAACAGCACAGTTGTACCACTAATCCACCTTGCAGTAGTGGAGCCACGCACTTATATTGACACAGGGGAAGTTTTGGGTTTCCTAAACTGATGTTTCATAATAAGAAACAACTGCTGAAGTCGAGCTTTACTACCATTACATGTATGAAATGCTGAATGACACTTGGCTCCTTTGCTGCTGACACACTGTAGCTTTAAAAATGACCTGTAATCCTACCGTTTACTCTGTTAGCTTGTAGCATGTAATCAGAGTACCTACCGAATACACCAGGCTGGCAGTCCAGCCCGGTGACTTGGCAGACTGTGGCTACTGTTTGGGTTATTTTCCTCACTCGTTTCTCATATGAGGATAGGAAAGTGTAAAAAAGCTGTCTTGGTGTTACGACCGTGTTGAAAAAGTTAATACCTAATTGAACATGTGTACTAGTACACACCTCTGTGAAGTGAAAAGCACAGTTTCAAACAATTTTCCTGTTAATCCAAGATCATGCGGTCAGACTTGAACCTTAGCATACTTTTGATCTTGAGGATTAAAGTTTTTCCCAGGCTTTTCCCTCTAGTATTTTCTTCCCATAGGAAAGGAAACCAAGCTGTCTTTTTTCTTTTCTTTTTTGTTTTTCACCGTCTGGAGTCATCCCTTGAAGTTCGTTTTCACCTGACACAGATGACGATGGCACATCAGTTCAGCAGCTCTCTTCACAGTTTTGTGTTTGTTTTGTTATATTTGTTTCTGCAGTAAGGTGCAAGAGTGTATGATGTAAGGTGATCTCACCTTTAACTACCTTTAAACTAAGCCAGTTTTCCTAGTTTGTCTTGAGACCAGTTTTTCAAGCTCCTCGGCTGGACATTTCTTCGAATAACATGGGGAAGTTGTAACAGTTCCTCTGTGAGTTTAAGGTTCTGTGACTTAGGTAATTCCTAACAGAATTCATGATGTTGAGATAAACAAATACCATCTTTTGCAGGATGTTTTTTCATGTATTTTTTAAAACAACTTAAGCTGTGTGTTTCTGGTTGATGTCTTGCAGCTGAATGAATTTGACATGGCTCCCTGGTGTGATTGCTGCGATTATAACCATAACTAATGTTTGGATTTCTTCAGATTCCTTACACAGCTATCATTATTAATTCTGAAGCATTTAACCACTCAAACCACTCAAATCCTTCTCAGTTTCGATAAGTTTTAGCTTCAGCACTTCAGACAAATTGGATTCCCGTTCTTAATTGCATGTCGGCACACGTTTGAGAGTCTTATGAGTCTCTTTTTAAAGGTCGGGTTTAAAGATTTGAAGATTGGAATGCTCAACACAGCCTCAGCCTTGCAGTTCTTTATTATGTTCTGTGTGTGCAAGTTTAGGATTCATGTGGTTTGTGGTTGTGCGTTATAATCGTTATGCCATTGTGATGCTCCCCAGATTGACAAAATATATCGGATGACAACTTTATCTATTGTTTTATGTTATTCTCTATCGTTTATTCCGTGCTGCAGGAAATGCACTGTTTACTGCAATCGTTTTTCGTTGCTTTAGGTCAGCGGTCCCCAACCCCCGGGCCTCGGACCGGTACCGGTCCGTGAGTCATTTGGTACCGGGCCGCGAGAGTTGAGGCTCAGGTGTGAAATGTATAGTTTTCAGGGTTTTTATCGGTTTTCAGCGTTATTTTGTTATCGTTTTTATCATTAACTCGGTTTTCCTGGGTCTTTTCACGTGTGTTATGAATAAATCTTCTTTTTTTCGGTACCGGTACTAGTTTTATTTTGTTGTATTTATCCGCGACACCTTAAAGGCCGGTCTGTGAAAATATTGTCGGGCATAAAGCGGTCCGTGGCGCAAAAAAGGTTGGGGACCGCTGCTTTAGGTGACAGTTTGCAACAGTCACCGTGGCATCCCAGAGAGACCAGCCAAAACAAGTTGAGGCGCTTGTTCCTAAATTTGGGACTACCTCTGTAACAAAGTCTGACACCGACTTTGTCAGATGTAAAAAAATAAATAAATAGTACTTCCCATGTGATGATTACATAAATTATTCACTGAATTTACAGAAAAAGTGTTTAGATTGTGAAATATATTGTTATTGGGATAAAAGCAAACAAACTGATTAACTATAACCAACAAGTCAACACTTTACATCATTGTTTTTTTCATATCTGTGTATGTACCTAAACCCAAGGGATGCAGTAGATGCTCTATGCATGAATGGAAAATATATTTTAGGTAAAACAAGCAAGTTAAAATTGTATTCGGTTATTTATTAAACTTATGTTATGTGGTGGAGAACTTTGAAGGCTGTCTCAGAACTCCTTTTAGTCTACACAGGAGAGGAAGGGCAGGTAGTTAAAAGATTTTATTTATTTATTTTTTAAAGTGAACCCAGAAGCTACAGTGATAAACAACATGACTGGCTCATGATGGGAAACATAGTTTGGCTTTAATACCCAATGAGTAGGAGGGGAAGTGATAAAGAAAGCGCATTGAGTTCAGAGTCTGATGGCAACAAAACACTTTTTCCTCCAAATGCTTCCATGAATTATAGACTTATGTCATTAGGTCATGGCTCATTGTTCACTTTTTCCTTTTTGTCTTGTGTGTTGTAGAACAGGACAGAAAGGGAAAGGAGTATATGTCTACTCTCATTATTTATTTGTCTCTTTGCTAAGATAGAAATCTACAAAGTGCCCGAGCATTATGTGCAAGACGTATTTTTAATTAAATCCCACATGTTAAGTGAATCTTTGACCGCTAATCATTTGTTATTGTTAAAAAAAAAAGAATTGAGAACAAGAACGGTTCTCTGGACGCTTCTTGTATGCCGTGTAAATTTTATGTAACTGGATGTACTTGCATCAAAGATTTTGATGACATATTTTAGTGTTTTCTTACAATTTTTGTAGTTGATTCAGTAACTAAAAAATATTTCACAGAATAAAAATGGAGAAGCATTGGTAGCCCACTTTGGTAGAATTTGTTTCCATGCTGGACGTATGTAATGTTCCACTTGCTGACTTTAATGATTGTTTGCATATTAAAGCCATAAACTCCGCAATCAAATACATGCCTACAATATTGTGGTTATATAAGGCACTGGGCTGTGTAAAAGCGTTACAGGATCATAGATGCTTTAGGACTCAAATAGGTGTTCATGATTGAGCCTCTGAGGTTTTATAAATTTATATTAAGTGGATTTTTTCCATCTTACAGAGTCTTTGCAGGAACTCGGATGATTGCAATGTTTTCTCTTGTTTGGGGGGAAAAAAAGATCAACAGCTGCTTCATGTTTTATTTTTTTCCCCAAGCAAACATTGCTTATTAATACAATGGCAGATTGATTAGTCTAAGGCCACATTGTTGTCTCTTATTTGATTAGATAAGAGACAACAATGTGGCCTTAGGCTGGGCTCAAGCGATCTATAAATATCTGTGAAGTCATGTTGGCTCCTGGAGGCCTCACACAAGGTCCTCAGTGTTCCAGTGAGAATACTAGTTTCTCCTGTCACTCTCGTGTTCAAAGCAGGAG